TAACAATACCATCCGAAATTTAGAACTGTTGGCCAGAAAGAATACAGCCAGTCAACAGCTCTTTATGCAGTAACTATAGTGCGCATAGAAGAGTTTACTGTTATAGTTAAAACTCCCTCGTAGCTGAAAGAATGGGACTTGTTCAGCGGCACATCGCGGCTGGAATTTTGGACCTTTTGACCCACATACTAGCACAATAACCAGGCCACAACCGATCCTAGGTTAAAACCATTAAAACTATAACTGTGTGAAAATTACAAAATGAAATATATTTCTATATAAACGACAAAGATAAAGCGAAAATAGTGTGCTTCTGCACTGAGCTTGAGAGCTTTTAATGCTAGAATTCAGAGTTTGGTACCTGCGGTGAAAACAGCACAGACAGCCCCTTGTGCAACTTTGCGATAAAACAAATATAAAACAAACTTCAATAATATTAATAATGAACCAAATGATAGAATGCCGGAATAGTAAACGAGCCGTAGCTTTCAAAATAACTACTCATAAATTCACAGTGTAAACAGTACAAAATAAGACTCACAACATTTTTTGTGAAAAGCTATGAAAAGGGATATTAGCATATAGTCATCCCTAATTTTGTACTGACAGATAAGAGGAAATGCAATAATGTTAATAGTACCAGCCGCCTACCTTTATCTGATCGAATAGTGGGTATTGATCATCGCTCTTATAGCGCATTCATGGCCCCAAAGTACGGAGCGCATTTTTGCGGAAATGGTCTGTAAAAGCACAAACCGTAGATTCACAATCCAAATAAGATTCAGAAGAAAAGAATAACACTAAGAATAAACTATACATTTCACTTAAGATAAAAAGATATGAAATGATAACATTGATAATTATGGCAAAAATAAATTAATAAAAAAAAAAAGTTTATTGTTAAGTACAAAGCTACACTATGGACTATCTGTGTTTATCTATGGGGTTTTGAGTCCGTTTTACTTCACCATATAGTTACCTAAATTAATTCAGGTGCGTCAGTAATGTTATGACATTTCGTCGAATTCATTATTCAATATTATACAGCAGACCGAATATTAAATGGTTTTATATATATATAAATATATAATCACCATAGGTGAAATTGAAAAGAGAATCTGTGATGTAGAGGCCTAATACATTCTTTGATTGGCTGTACCCTCTACTGTGGATTGTAGTTTCTCCTATTCAAGGCTCATTAGTACAGCTTGGGTCAGCACACCAAATAAATACCATTAAGGCTCTTATAATGGTGAAGTGTATATATAATATCTATGGGGGTATGAGTAGATTTTACTTCACCATATAGTGTTTTGCCCACGTCTGGTATCAAAACCCGATTTTTAGCGTCATGGCCCCTCAGACTAACGATTGGTCCGCTGGGGGAAAAGCAGTTTAAAATAATAATAAGTTTCAAGTTAGTAAGAAAATTCCTCTAGGAAATGTATTAGAGATGGAATTATATAATAAATTAAAACAAAAATTGAAGGGAAAAAAGTTGAATAATGTTTCTAGTGCGTGATGGCGCCATCAGACAAGATTACGTCATTTACTGGGCTGGTGTAGATCTAACATTATGAATAATGCTTGGTTAGGTATCTAAATTCTAACGTTGGTTAGTTCCTTGGGCGTCAGACTATTTGTGATTAGAAATGCAGTCTGTAACTATGTTAGACATTGTCGGAATTTTTAGCTACATGTTTATTTGAATATTCCTTTTTAACTCAGGTAAATATTTTATTATAAATATAGTTTTATATTTCAATTTTTATTACTATAGTATATGTATCATTCTCTTACTCTTAATATTACTACTACTAGTAGTACTAGTACTACTGTATAAATATACTATTAACATTATGTATTCTAGCACTATTATTAGTATTACTATATCGTATAACATTAATACAGTATACTGTACTACTACTATGTCTTGTATATAGTATTAATACTACTACTGGCACTACAGTAGTAGTAGTACTAGTTGAGTCTACTATTACTTAGTAGTATATCTCTATTTGTGGATTTATAAATTTGCATACATATAATTTAAGGACAACAAAGGACCAGTTTCTCCGTTTAGGCTGCCCCATACACTAAATTAAACTATAATTTTTAAAATAAAAATGCACAAAGCTAGCCCTTATCACTCAAACTTAAGTCAAAGTCAAATGTTTATCAGTCTTAACATAGATTCCATTGGCTTAAGTTAAGAAAGTTAATAGCATTCACCACATTTGAAGGAAACCCATTCCAAAGACTAATCACCCATTTAAAAAAAAGATGTTTTAGCTGAAGATGACTCCTACCCTACAAAAATTTATGATTTATCATGATCTCAAAGTTCACAATTTTCAGCATATATTGAGAAATCAGGAGTCTTGATTTTAGACATAACTATATCTCCATTATAACTTATGCAATGTTTGTTAGAAATGGGTGATTTAGGTTATTTTTAACAGACTTCTGGATGAGAAATGGTACATATTTGGGGATTAGGGATGACCTTGATGAGCCAAATTGCCTTCTTTCACTTAGGTATTCTTAAGTTTAATAACTCTCATAACACAGCCTTAATGTTTAAGCTAACTTATGTAATAGTTAAAAGCTTCATTTTTAGGAATTAAGTTTAAATGTTATCTTGAGTAAAATATAGCTTATAATATTTTGTCCTTTTTCTTTTATGCAATAGTTAGTACCTCAGACCATCCAAATTCCATGTTGACTGAAATTAGGTATATGTGCTTATCAGTGATTATCATACTTAAAACTCTTAACTATGAAATACATTTATTATTTTGGTATCCAAATTGTTGATAAATCTGTCAATGCTTTTGATTTATAGGTGAAAGAGTGCTAATATGATTCCCTTTTTTTGAAAAAGAAAAGGGTTGAAAGAAAAATCTATGAAATTATATATTGCTTGATTTCTGTTGTTAGAAAAATGTTTCAATGTGTTATTAAAAATCATTTCTTTAAAGGGTATGGTAGGAGCATAATTAGGAAATTAGTCAGATTTACTGATGACATTAAACTCTTGGGAATTTTTAGCTATATTCAGGATGTTGAGGTGTTACAGAATAACTTTGACCAATTGGTAAATGATCATTAATTATAGTAACTTCAAAGTAATGCATTTGAATTATGTTAATTTGAATCACATCTTTAATATAGTGTGACTGAACAAAAGTATCTTGGCATATTGATGGATAAATCACTCAAACCATTAGATCTATGTTGTTAGTAGTAAAGATAACAGAATTTTAGGGTATATTTATAGACAAAAGAGAAAATTATCTCTATAAAGGAACACTGTTTACAATTTGTCTCCTTACCTAAGAAAGGGCTTATTGGAAAGAAACAATAGGATTCCAGGGATGAAAATATTATTTTATAGGGATAGGGTAAGATCTTTTAACTCATTTTCTCTTAAGGAAAGAAAAGTAGGAGGTGGTCTTATTCAAACTTACTAGATTATTCAATAAGATGAAAGCCTTTGATTTATTAATACCATATTCTGGAGACAACAGTATGAAAGAACACAAGTTTAAGATTTGGAAAAGACAGGCAGGGCTCTAGTTAAGACAGTTATTTTTCTAGCAGGGAGATTAACTTGTGGAATGAGTTGCCACCTGCAATAGTTGAGGAAAGCATTTTGTAGATTTTAAGAGGGGGAATCAATGATTTTCTCAAAAGTTAAAGGTGGGTTTAAATTTTTACTTTTCTTAGGTTATGTGGTATTAAATTGTTCATGACCATCATTGAACATCAAACTCTAAGAAAAAGAAAAGTAAAAATTAAAGCCACCTTTTACTTTTTTTAGAAAATCATTGAGTCCTCTATTAAACTCTTCTGAAGATTTATTCTGTTTAGAATAAAGGTCCTCTGAAAAATGCTTTTTCTTGACTTACAGATAGATTTGACATGACATGCTACAAAAGATTAATAAGTAACATTAACAGAAAGTTGGAGAATTGAAAGCGATGTAATTTTTTTTTTTTAAGGAAGGAAAGATAGCCGGGTAACCCTTACCCTCATGGGTCTGTTTTTTAAATATTAGAATAG